TCGACACGCAGGCCAGTGTATTGGAAGCAGAAGGCTTGCATTTTCCAAGGCCAATAGCAAATAAAGGTACAGGGGAAAGGCAAAAGGGGAAGGGCCTCTAGATGAGGCCATCACCTACCAAGCCCTTCTCATTCATCAGAATCTATGCTCTCCTCTCTGACCACGGCCCTCACTCTGGTGCCAGGACTGTGGGAGGAGTCTCCTCACAGCCTCTGCCATGGTCACCTGCATCCAAGCCTCACACAGTCATCTTCCAGACTGGGCTTCCTTCCATGGAGCTTAGGCCATTTTGATCTTCTGCTCTAGGGAACTCAGCGACTCCTGAGGAAAGTTGGGTCTGGCATTCAGGGCCCTCTCCCTGCTGACATCTGCTTTTCTGCCTCATGGCACTCCTCTGTTCACCAATGAAACTGGACAATTCTGTGTCCGCTCAACAGGCCCAGTGTCCCTCAGGCTCTACCTGGACAATCTCCCACACCCATACTTGGCCCTCACAGAAGCACAGGAGCTACAGAACCAGAAAGGATTTTAAAGAACGCTGAGTTCTCTGGCTCTCCAGCTGTGGCCAGGGAGCACCTTGGGATGCTGAAATCTTCAAGGCAAACACAGCAATATGAACCATGAGGTATTTCATTTAGCCTAGGGGTCAGTGAAAAAAATCATTGGGACGCCAAGGGTGCCATGAACTGAGAAAATCTGGGAGCCCCCGATCAAGTCTACCTCCTCATTTCCCCTCCCCCAATGGTCTTTTTCTTATCATGAACTTGAAAAATATCAACAAACTTGAACATTTTTATAAATAACAAAGGACAGGAAAAGAGGATTGTCTATGAAACCTCGATGGGAGAAATATCACCTCTCTGAATTCATGTGGTGGGTAGCTGCTGCCAAATATATATTCGCACTATATAGAAATTATGGAGGCAAAAACCCAGACTTTATTATTATGCACAAGCATAGGTTCAGGCTTCAAAGAAACCAGAAACAATCATGGGGATTCTGACACAGCTTCTTCTGGGCAAAATTCCATCTGAGTAACAGTGAAATAATCCTTTTACCTACTGCAATCTTCTACATTCCTCTTAGATCATAAAAGCTAGAGAAGACAGAGCCATAAGCCAATACTCCCGTCAATGTCATAAAAGCTGAACAAACTTAGTTAAGTAGTCATAATCTTACATATCCCCATATGGAAACAAACTCTATAGGGAAACTGAGTCAGGTTCCAGCTCAAACTCCCTTTAGAGGTTTCAAAAATAGGATGATTGAGGAGGAGGATTTACTTGTCTCCAAGGAGTCAGGGACAGTCGAGATTTCTCCTCTGCCTTCTTATCTAAGGAATGCTAAAGGCTCTAAGTAAATTTTTATATCCCATGGGACTGGCTTTGGTCAGGTGATAATAATTTATGATTAATAAATATAAAATAATACATATTAACCAAAAATGTAAGGGGAATAAAATGAAATAAAATTTTTCTATAACCAAGCTGTGGAATCTCTATTGCCTACAACTTTAAAAACTGTATATTAAATTAAGCATGGTAGCTGCCCTCACTTGTGTCCCCTTACCAGCTTTCCTCAGCCTTTTTTCTGGGTGTTTTAAAATATTTCATTGACAGTCTTTTCTTTCTTTGCTTTTCTTTTTTTTCCCATCCCTATCACTCTTCCCCGCCTCCCTCCCCCTCTAAAAAGGTTCCCTTGTAACCAATAAGTTTAGCCAAACAAAACCAATCCCATGCTGGCCATGCCTGAAAAGGAATGCCTCATTTTGCACCTTTGGTCCATCACCAAGAAGGAGGCAGGCTTCAGATTCCTACGACTGATAGTTGTTGGGGTGACCATGCCATAGTTACTGTTTATTTGGGGTCAATAACCATTGGCAGGGCCACAGAGGTTGGGTCACTGTAACCACTCCCTTCTCCACTAAAATCCCTCTCGGTTCCATACCCAGGTTACTCGCCTGAACCTATGCTTGTGCATAATGATAAAGTCTGGGTTTTTACCTCCATAATTTCTACGTAGTGGTGAATATTCACTATTCCTGTGTAACCGAAAAGGAGAGGAATATGAGAGAGGTGTACATAAAATCGTTCAGACTTGGTAACTGACCGGATATATGGAATGAGGGAGAGTGGGCAGTTGTGAGGGACCATGTTATGAACCTACATAACTGGAAAGACAGTGATGGACAGAAAGTATTAGTTCTGATGAAAAGGGAGTGTGGGGGGAAAGTCGATGACTTCTCGTTTGGCTGAAGACAGTCTGAGATGTCTACGGGATATTCATTCCAAAATATCTAAGAGGCAGTTGGTGTTTGGGTAATAGGGTCCAGGAGAGAGAAGGCTAGATATAGATCTGGGCATCATCAGTGTAAGGATGATTTCACCCAGTGCCCGGTACATAGTAGCCATTTAAGAAGACAGCCCAAGGCAGAGCCCCATCTCACACTGCTCGGCTGGTGGATATGACTCCGCTGAAGATCCAGAGAAGGAGCCGTCAGGTAGATAGAAAGGAGGGGTCACAGACAGGTAGGAAGAGGAGACAGTGGTGTCACAAAAACCTCGAGAGAAAAGAGGATGGAGGAAAGGGGCATCACCAGTGTCTAAGGCTGCAGAGAGGTCAAGATCGATGAGGAGTGAGAAAAGGCCGTCGGATTTGGCAGTTAAGAGACCACTGGTCACTTCGGACAGAGAAGTTTCAGAACAACCATTTCCAAGGCTTGAGAATCGTGAGAGAGGTGGCGGGATTTGGGTGTGAAAGGGACGGGAGATGTTTATTGGAAGACAGCTGGAGAGAATGGGTGAACAGGTTAACAAGCATCTCCTAAGGGCCCGCTAGGTACCAGGCCCTGCGCCCAGCGCTGGGGATTCAAAGAAAGGCAGCCGACAGTGCCTGCCCTCCAGGGGCTTCCAGTCTAACCCCATGAGAACCACGGTCCGCACAGCCTGGTGGAAGGGAAGGCACCCGCAGGGTCAGGGAGCCGGCGGGCATGGTTTTCAGGGCGGTGAGGACGGGGCTTGTGTGCAGGCAGCAGGGATGGAGCGGGGATGATTGTGGCACCGTCGGGGGAGGAGGAGGAGGAGGGATCCGGGGCAGGTCTCGAAGCAAAGAGCCCGGAGCGCCGCCCAGCTTGGCGGCTCGTCACGCGGGTGACTCGGGCTGCCCTGCCCTCTCGGACCGCCCTGCCCTCTCGGACCGCATCGGCTCGTTGACAGAGACAGCTTGGCCCCCTCGCAGCTCCGCCTAGGCTCTAAGAGCTAGCTGTAAGCTCCAGGAAGGCAGGACCCCGGCGTCCCCTCGGGCTTCCCCCGGGGCAAGCGGAGCCGCTCGGTCCGCGCTCCACATCCACCCCGCCCGGGATGGAAATGACCTTAATTGGAAGTCTTCCGGGGAGCCCCGCCCCTCCTCTGCCTAAGGCCCACCTTGAAGGGGCGGGGCGAGAACGCCGCTCGGACCTCCGAGGCATTGTCTCGTGGCCGCCCCGCGCTCTGATTGGGCCTGCGCCGTCACGTGGGCAGGGACTCGAGCAGGATTGGCCGGAGTCCTGAGGGGCACTTCTGGGGCCAGGACGAGTGGGAAATTCAGGCCGTGACCGTCTCCGTGGAAACACAGGCCTCCCCTGCTGCAGTGGGCGCCCGAGCCGGTGCGTGCTGACCTCGAAGTGGCCCCGCCCCCTCCCTCTGTCCTCTGCCCCCATAAGGAAGAGCCCCGTCCCCTGGTCCTCCTTCCCTTCCCAACCTTGAATACGAAAGGCCCCGCCCCGTTCCTCCTTCTTCCCTCCCCTCCCCCAGAGGCCCCGCCCTTCCTCTGTTCTTTCTTCTCTCGCGCTCTTCCCTCCATAAGAGCCCCACCCCTCCCGGGGAGAGGCCCCGCCCCTTGTCCGTCCTCCCTCCCGCTCTCTTCCCCTCACACCCACCCCGCCCTTCCTCCCTCCCCTTCCAAGAACGAAGCGCCCTCCAGAAGGCCCGCCCCTTCCCCACCTTCAGAGTCTCCGCAAGGAGAGAGCCCCGCCTCTTCCTCCCCTCCCATCCCTCCTCATGGTGGCCCCGCCCTTCCTCCCCTCCCCTTCTCTCTCCTCCCCCCTCTCCCCGGGGTTCCCTGGCTTCTCCCCGTCCCCCCACCCTCCCTCCTCCTCCTCCTCCTCCCCGGCCACCTTCTCCCCCTCCACCCTGGCCTTCGTGCCCTCGTCCTCCACGGCCCTGACTTTCACGCCGGCCACCCGGTCCCCCTCCACGATGAACTTCGCCCCGGCCGCCCCGTCCCCCTCCTCCCTGTCCTTCCGCCTGGCCGCCTTCCCCTCGGCCCCGCCCCCGCCCTCCCTGCGCCCCACCCCCCTCTCCTCCTGCTCCTCGATGCAGGCCCTGGTCCCCACGATCGTGGTGCCGGCCCCCGACTCCACCTCGGCCACCCCCTCCTCCTCCTCGCTGACCTTCGCCCCCGCCTCGCTGTCCCCGTCCTCGCAGTCCTTCGGGCCGGCCCCGCCCACCGCGGCCCCGCCCCGCTCCCCGGCCTCGTCGCTGGCGCTGTCGCCGGCCTTCTCGTCCTCCGGCCTGTTCGGCCGCCCCTCGGCCCTGCCGTCCCCGCCCTTCCTGGCGGCCCCGCCGTCCCCGCGCTGCCGCCGGGCCCCGTCGCCCGCCCTGCTGAGGCCGGCCTCGCCGCCGCCCTCGGCCTCGTCCCCGCCGCCCTCGCCCCGGCCCTCAGTGCCGCTCCGGCCCGTGACCCCCTGCCGTCCCCGCCCCTTCTCCGCGCTGCCCCCGCCCCTGGGATCCCGCCCCTTCTCGCTGCTGCCCCGCCCCCTACCTTCGGCCCCGCCCCGTCCCTGTTCCCTCCGCCTCCCGCCCCCCGGGTCCGCCCCACGCCCTCCTCCTCCGCCCAGTCCCTGGCCAGCGGCTCCGCCCCCCGGGTCCGCCCCGCCTCCCGGCGCCGGCCCCGCCCCTCGGCCCCGCCCCGTCCCTGAGCCCCTGGCCGGCGGCGCGCCTGCGTGTCGCCACAGGGCGGGGATGGAGGTCCTGGACGAGTTCGACTGGGAGCACCCCATGACCTTGACGTTCTGCGAGCCCATCTCGGAGGAAGCCTTCGAGCGGCAGGCCGTGTCGTACACGGAGCGCTCCCTGCGCCGCCTCTTCCGCAGCATGGACCGCAACCCGGCGCTGGGGGAGCGCGTGGTGCGCAAGTGGAAGCAGGAGGAGCGCGAGCGTCGCGGCCTCATCTCCTTCCTCACGGTGGGGGCATGGGGGGCGGGGGGGTCGGCGGCCCCTCCTTCCCCTCCCCCCCCGCCGCCTGGGAGGCGGGCCCCCCAGGACTGGGAGTCCGGGCCCTGGGATCCCCCCAGCATCAGCATCAGCCCCGGCCCCGCCCCCTCCCTGGTCTCCCAGCTCATCCCCTCCCTCTCCTCCACGCCGTCCCAGGGCAGGTTCTTCCAAGCCCTCCAGGGAGACCTCAATCACTACAATAACGTGGGCGCCTCGGAGCTTCATCAGAGGCTGGATCATCTGAAGAAGAAGATGCAGAAGTTAAACAGCTATGCCCAAGGTGATGGCACCAGGCCCCCGACATGGGGGAGGGGCAGGGTGGGCCTAGCTGGAGGCCCCCTGCCCCTCCCCCGACTGGTACTCCAGGGGGATCGGACCACGAAGTGGGAGGGAGGGGCCAGGGAATTCCCTAGGCCGTGAGCTCTCACGTTTGGAAAGGACTTGGAGGCCAACTTGTCTGACTTTTGCCCCAGCGCTAGACCCGACGAGTAGTTCTCTAGCCTTCCTTGAATACCTTTGAATGGGAGCTTTGCGATGGCCAGCAACGGTGGATGACCTAGGTTTGTGAAGAAGGATCACAGGATTGCAAATTTTAGAACTGGGAGAGAAGGCTGTTCATCTACTCCAACCCTTCATTTTACTGATGAGAAAATTTATGACTGCTTTCAGATAAGGATACCTGTGACTGTAAGTCTGGGTCCAGACTCAGAAAATGTGGGTGTTCATCCTGACTTTGCTGTGACCCTAGTCAAGCTATAGAAGGGGATGGATGACTGTTGAGGTACGGCTTGGACTAAATGACCCCTCCTGGATCCCCCTCAGGGATTCCATGAATGTGAATAGAAAGTACTCTGTAAGCCACATGGTGCTGTATAAATTTGAATTGCTAGTGTGATTGATTTTCCAAGAATTGGTTTGGTAGTGTATTTCTGAGCTGGTTAAATTTGGGATCCTGGGATTCTAATAAATTTGGGGACCCCGACTAGTGAAAGATCATGAGAAGAATTTAATATAGACCAGAACAGAGGTGAAGGAATTTTTTTTAGAGGCTAAAAGTCACTCCAAGGATTCCTTGTCAGGCTGTAGAATGTTAGAGAACATGGATATTATATGTGTAGCTAATTCACCATTGGTGGAGCTGTGAATTGTTTCAACCCTTGTGGAAGCAATTCAGAACTATATTGAAAAATTTACTAGACCATAAATACCTTCTGACATAGAGGTACTGCTACTAGCTACCTGGCTCCTAGGAGGTCCATAACAGAGGAAAGGTCCCATATATACAGAAATACTTGGCGCAGCTAAGTGGCACAGGAGATAGAGCACCAGCCCTGGAGTCAGGAGGACCTGAGTTCAAATCTGGTCTCAGACACTTACTAGCTCTGCGACCCTGGACAAGTCACTTAACCCCATTGCCCAAAAGAAAAAAGAAAAGAAAAGAAATACTTGTACCACTTCTTGTGGAAGCCAGAACTTGGAAACAGTGGGTGCTCACTGGTCAGGGGATGGTATTGTGGTGGAAGATGATTGCACTGTAAAAAATGGTGACTCTGAAGAGTGTTGTAGAACCCGGGGATACTTGTTTGAAGGAAGTAGACCTAGAAGAACAATTACACAGTGGCTACAGTAATGTAAAAGAAAACCTTGAATGACGTTAGAAGTGAGATCTCTGCTGTGATCAGTCATGACTTCGGAGGGGAACGAATGGTGAATCGGGCTGCCCTTGAACAAGACGGGGTGACAGAACGAAGCCTTTTCGGTTTGACAGGGTCGCGGGGTGTGTGTGTGTGTGTGTGTGTGTGTGTGTGTGTGCTTTTTTGTTCTAGTTACCCTTGTTACCTCTACTTTGTTACAAAGGAAGGCCCTATCATTGGGAAGGGACAACGATGTGGCAAAACATGAGTAGCGCAATTCAAAAAAGAAACAATCTATGTACTGGAGTAAAAGTGGGCAAGGACGCGGGTCCTAAAGATCAATATTTGGGCTGCAGTTGCCTCTGGGAAACTTCCCATTGGCAGTGTTTTCAGTGACACCATGATTTTCCAGCTTTTGAACACCAGTTTCTTCTGGTGATGCCCTGGGGCTGTGACTCATGGAATACTAGAATCTCTGAAGAAGGAAGACTGAATTCTCCCCACCCCCCACCCAAGGGTGATGGAGAGATATATGGTGGCACCAGTGGAGAACCCAAGCGCTCAAGAAGCATCAGAAAAGATGTCCAAAAGGAGTTGGGCCAGTCAGATGGCAAGATGGAAGAATAGCGATGGATGCCCCATGTATTACATGACTTCCTAGGTCAAGACGAGACCCTGAAGGAAGCCTCCGAGCAAGTAGGGCAGATGCCCAATGGAGAGCTTATGGGAAGACATGGCCTAAAAGGGGACAAGCCTTTATTAAGTGCCTCCTGGGTTTCAGGCCCCATGCGAAGTGCTTTACAACAACCCTGGAAGGCAGGTGTTGTTATTATCTCCATTTTACAGTTGAGGCAGGCAGAAGCGAAGTGACTTACCAAGGGTCACCCAGTTAGTGCCTAAAGTTGAGTTTGAACTCAGACCATGTTGACTCCACAAAGGCCCGTGCTCTGTGCGTTGCCTCCCGCCAGCTGCCGTAGGATGGGCTCAGATCTGCATCCTGGGAAGAGAGTCTACACTGAAGCTCCCCCAGCCCCCCGAGGTATAAGTGCCCTTGGACAGGGGATTTCACCCTCCAGAGGCCAGACTGTTACTTTGACAATCGGTGGTGGTCATCCACCCTCTGCCTCAGGGAGCAGTTGTGAAGAAAGCACCCCGGTAAATGGGAGGAAGAGGTGCGGAGTTCTCTCACCCTAAACATTTCGTATTCCTTTCCTACTCTGGGTCCTTGTCTCAGCCAGCGCTTCCCAAACTGTACTGCAGGCTGCCAAGCGTCTACACATTCTACCTGGGGCACTTTTCCCCATCTTGGTGACTCCACAGAGGGCCTGGGGCACTAGTCCATGAGAAAGCAGTAGCCAGGGCTTGGGAGAGCAGGATGAAACGAGGTTATTTTAAGTCTGGTTTTAACAAGTCTGGATGGTTGGTAGGAGAAGTTTAGCAAACCTATAAAAATCAGTTGTGGAGCGCCCCCAAGTCTGAATGGGAAACACCAGCTCAAGCCTTCCGACCTTCTTCCTCAGCTCATCCATCTGCTCTGTGCTCCAGCCATCACTTTTCCTCCCTGAGGATGCTCTATGGCCTGTCTCTCTGCTTTTGTCCTGGCAGTCGGTCTTCTTGGCCGCGGCAGCGCTCTCCCTCCTCATCTTGGCTTCTTAGAATCCCGATTTCCTTGAAACTGAGCTCAAAAGCCATTTTCGGAAGGAGGCTTTTTCTTAATCTGTCTGTCCCACCCTCAACAGCTGCTAGTGACTTCTAGGGTTACCTTCCATTTCCTTTGTATAAATCTTTTTTGTGCCTATTAATGTACATATCTCCATCATTAGAATGGGAGCTTCTTGAGGGCAAGAACTTTTTTTTCTATCAGCCAATAAATGTTTATTAAGTGCCTACTATGTACTAGGCCTTGCTCTAAGTGAGGGAGATATAAAGAAAAGCAAAAGACAGTCCCTACTTTGAAGGAGTTCACAGTCTGATGGGGGAGACAACATGAGAACTACATACAAACAAACCGTATTCCAGATGAATTAAAAAATAAGCAGAGGCAAGGCCATGTAATTAAGGGACACTGAAATAAGCTTCCCATAGAAGGTGGGATTTTAGCTGGGACTCCAAGGAATCCAGGAGGCGGAGATGAGGAGGGAGAACATTCCAGGAGTGGGGGATAGCCAATGAAAATTCATGGAGTCGGGAGATGGAGTGTCTTGTCAGGAGGCCAGTTTCAAGGGGTTGCAGACTATGTTGTAGGATATAAGATAACAGAAGACCAGAAAGGCACAGCGGGGCGGGTTATGAAGAGCTTTGAATGGCAAACAGGATTTTATATTTAATCCTGGAGGTGATTTGGAGCCGCTGGAATTTATTGAGTAGCATTCCCAGCACTTAGCACAATTCCTGGTGTCTAGTAATGCTAATAAATGCTGCTAGATTGGTTGAGCCCTGTCTGGAGCAGAAATTCCCCACACGTTGACCTGTATGAATCACATGGAGGGCTCTTTGAGAGACAGCACCTCATCTGCTGATCTGCAGTGAGGAGATAGATCTTCCTGAGAGTCAGAAACATGCAAGATTGCCCCAGAGATGACCACTGACCCAGGATAAGGGAGCTGGTTGGAACAGAGGCTGATGCTAACTTTGTCCCCTGTAATGCAGACTAGCTTTTCAGGAGGTGATCCTTACCAGGTGGACACTGATGAAGGAGGGCTGCCCTGCAGGTTGATAGGTGGGATGAAAAACCAGGGTCCCAAATCGTTAAAATCCTGGAAAAATCAGTCCGTTTTATTCGATCATTAGTCTGTGTTCCCAGGGTTATAGAAATCGACACTTCCTCAGCATCTGCTTATCCTAATTCACTTTTCTGCCACTCTCCAAGATTTACAAAATGTTTTCTTCAAAATCCTTGCACAGACTCTTCCTATGAATCCCAGGTAAGCAAGGGGAGACTCTTGAGAGAGATTAAATGGCAGGGTCGGGATTTGAACCCAAGTCTATTGAATGGAAGACCTGTCTGAACACCATTTAGATGAGCACTGTATGCTAAAAGGCTGCAAGTGTCTCACCCCCTACCCTGCACTAGATATTCTTCACAAAGGACGAAAGGACTACCACCTTCAGGTATTTGAAGGGCTGTCAGATGGGAAAGGCATTAACCCCTGTAGCAAAAACTAGAGGGAGTAGGCAGAAACTACAGTGAAGCAGAGTATACCAAGATGAAAGGGAAAAACTTTCAGGGTTGCCCCCGAAGGAATAGGCTGTTCCTTAGGTCGATGTGAATTCCTATGCAATTGAAGTCTTCAGAGCAGAGGCTGAGCACTTCTTGATGAAGCGTAGGCTAGACCAGAGCTTCCAAGGTCCCTTCCAAGCTGAGATTCTGTGATCCTTTGGGGGCGTACAGGGGACCCAGGCGAATAATGGAGGAGGGGTTATTCTTGAGGGCAGAACCAGGAGCAGTCAGCAGAAGTTTCAGAGGCAAACCTGGGCATATCGTAATGATGAACTCCTTCACTATGAGAGCTATTCTGAAGTTAGAATGGGTTGCCCTGGGTGGTAGTGAGTTCCCCTCCCCAAGAAGTCTTCAGGTAGAGGGTGGAAAACCACTGGTTGAAGATTTCTTCTCAAGTATAGTCGGACCGGCTTTAGAACTCTAAGGTCCTTTCCAACTCTGAGATTCTGTGACCTCAGAGATTCCCTCCAACTCTATTATTCAAGGAGCCTGTAAGTCTATAAGGGCCCCAGGGCTGAAGCTGAAGATTAGCTCTGGGCCTCTCTTTCAGGCTACAAAATGCTTACTCGAGTGGTTGTCTGTCACAGACGCAAGGCAGAAGAGAAGGAAGAGGGGGACCTATAGACTAGATCATTCCCCTTCCACGGTGGGCAGCGTCTTGTCCCGATCACCAGTTGCCACGACCGTTTCCACCCGGTCAGCCATTCCAGTCACATACACGCCCAGAGTCTTTGGTCCTTTCCCTCCTCTCTCGGATGAACAGGTTTGTTTCCATTTTTCTCTGCTTTTATTCTTTGCTAGGGGCAGAATCAGAATCCATAAAGATCGTGGCAGTGTAGAGCAGTGGGCCAAATAAAATTACATGTGATAGGCATAAATGCAAAAGCCCTGCACTTGGGTCCAAAAAATCAACTGCACAAATATGACCAGGCCAGTGAAAAATGTGGGTGGAAGTCTTAGTGGTTTAAAAGTATACTATGGGGGCAGCTAGGTGGTGCAGTGGATAGAACTCCAGCCTTGGAGTCAGGAGAACCTGAGTTCAAATTCAGCCTCAGACACACAACACTTACTAGCTGTGTGACCCCGGGCAAGTCACTTAACCTCGATTGCCCATCAAAAACAGCAAAAAAAAAAAAAAAAAAGTATACTATGAGTTAGTCCTAACAGAAAAGCTCAAATGTGAGCCTGAACTTTCTCAGTAGAGGCATTGTGTCCAGGCCAAGAGTGGTGATGGCCACTCTGTCTTCTGACTTGGTCAGACTGCATCATGGAAGATGATGTTCATTTCTGGGGACCACATTTTAAGAGGGACGCTGAGAAACTGCAGTGCGTCCAGAGGAAAACCTTCAGCATAGTAAGAGGCTTGGGGATATTTAATCTGGAGAGGAAAAAGTTTAGGGGGGCACTCCTGAAGGGCTTTTACATGGAAGAAATACTAGAATCGTTGATCTTGGTCCTGAAAGGGCAGCAGTAGAAGCCAAGGAATTATAGAGCCACAGATTTAGGTTTGCCGTGAGAAAAAAATTCCTGAGCTCTCTGCAAGTGGAACGGGCTGCCTTGGAAGGGAATGAGTTTCCTGTCACTGGAGGTATTCCTGAGGAGATTCACTTGAGTAGGAACTTGACAGGACTTCTGCTCCAGTGCAGGTTGGCCTAGTTGGCGTCTGATGTTCCTTCTAGCTTGGAAATCCCCTGGTTCCCTTACTTCACCCCAACTGTTGGCTGTGGGAAAAGGCCAAAGAACCAGGGGAGTCCCAAGTGACTTGCCCAGAGGCATGCCCTTTGCAGGGGTACTTGCTGGGCTGCGCACTGGGGGCGAGTTCAGCATCTGATCCCAGCAGGAGAGGCTGTCAGCATTGGCTTAGGAGTGTCCCAGCTCAGGACCATATAACCAGAAGGGACGTGAGAGGCCATGGAGCCCATTGCTGTACTTTTTCAGATGAAACCAAGACGAGCAGAACCAAGTCAGTGGCAGAAAGAGGCTGTGTATCCAGCATCTCTTCTGGGGGGGGGGGGGGCGGCGGCAGCGCTTTTCTTAACCTCCCTTTTGTCTCTCCTTGATTCCTTTCCTGCTCGATGAAACTAATTAGGCAAAGCCTCTTATTTGGAACAATCCAATCAGTCAATAAACAGTGCTAGAAGGACCACGAAGGGCAGGAAATCTCTTTGTTTCAACAGACAGAGACATTGGCTGGTCCCAACTCCGAAGTGAAGGTCATGCAGCTAAACTGGACAGGACTGTCAGCAGCCCCCAAGAGGTAGAGGCAGGCGGGAGCCCAGCGCCCTGGAAATAGGCAAGGGACAGTGGGGGACGAGACAGGACCAAGCACTGCTTCTGAGGAACTTCTGGGCTGAATTGAACTAACATCATCAGAGCTGGGAGGGGCCTCGGATCAGGGAATAGAGAATGTCAGAGCAAGAAGGAACTTTAGAACGTGGACTGTCAGAATTAGGAGGGATCACAGAACATAGTATGTCAGCGCTGGGAGAGCCTTGAAAGCAGAGGATGTTGGGGCTGGGAGGGCCCTGAGAACAGGGAATGTCAGAAGTTAAAGCCAACTTTATCATCTAGTCTAATCCCCTTGTTTGACGTGTGGGGAAACTGTGACCCAGTGAGGAGAAGGGCCTCGCCCAAGGCCGCAACCAATGGCAGAGACAGGATAGGGAAGGAAGAGAGAGGAGGGAGGGTCAGGCTCAGCTGGGGTGCTTGAGGCTTTTTCCAGTTCCCTTGTCTCCGGTCTTTCAACAGAATCGTTGATCTGACTCCTCTGGTGCTTAACCCTGGTGGTTTTAATTCTTCTCGGCTCTCTGGAAACCCTGCCCACAAGCTCCAATGCCCCGGCTTTCCCTGGTAAGCCCGTCTCAGGTTGTAGGGCCAAGCCAGAGAGAGGCCCCTGGTGACAGAGCCCCCGAGACCTGTGTGTCATGCTGGGCAGGACCCACAGCCATGTATTTCCTAGAATTTAGAGTCTCAGCTCCTTAGGTGGAAGGCCGCCTCTGGCCCTCCCTTGCTGCATCCCCCAGGGGGCTCCCTCCAGGGGTCAGCTGAAGCCTTTTAGTAATAGGATGCTCCCTACTACGTGAGGCAGCCTGAGCACTGCCTGGCCTTCCTCCCTCCACCTTCCAGCCCAGTCCAGCCTTCTGGGCCTGGACCCCATGCTAAATGGTGGCCCCCATCCGAGCAGGTCTTCAGCCTTGGGTCCGACCGTCGATCCTGAGGGCTCGGCTCCGACAGTGGGGAACGCCTCTGTCTTCACCCCACCTGTGCTGCTCAAGTTCCAGCCAGTGCAGAGGCCTCAGGAGGATCCAGACAGTGACCAGGAGAGCAAGAGTTTGGATTCTCCCAGCAGTGCCCCGTAATAACATCCCTTTATCACTCTGAACTCAAGAATGAATAAAGCTCCCTGTGGAAAATGCCGCCCATCTTTGGTGCCTCGCTTCAGAAGGGCAGATTCGGCACCTTGGGGCTCACTCCCTGCAGCCCAGGCGTGAGGGGGCACTCTGAAAACATCCCAGGGAGGGGTAGAGTGGCCAGAACTCTGCAGTCAGGGGTCTGGGGCTCAGGCTTTCCCCTAACCCTAAATGTGCTCCTCACTTCACTTTACTGGGCCTCAGTTTCCTCATCTGTCAAGTATACGTGTGGGTGATTGGAGGGGTGTGGGACATGGGAGGAGCCAACCCCTTGAGAACTGGGGCAGGGGCCAAGTTTTGTTGGGGTCTGACTGTCTGATGGAGCCCTTTGGTGACCTTGCTGACCCCACAGGGCTCTTACAGCTCTAAATCTGGGGTTTCCTCTTTGAGGAAGAACCACCCACTCAAGATGCCCAAAAGGAGCATCAGCTTCCACTGTTGATATCGCTTTTGTTGTGTCGAGCGTGTGGCCCCACTCACAGCTTTCCTCTGGACTTGCAGTTAGGGGAGAGGAGATCCCTACCTGCCACCAGTGGTAGCCCATGACTCAGGAGTATTAAGTATTAGCAATGGCTCAGGATGCCTGTTTCAGCTAAAATTATAGTCTCCCGATGTGTTAACCACAATAGGAGAAAGGAATTTCTTAATAGGATAGGTTGTAAATTCAATAAGATAAGAGAATGTCCAGGTGTCAATCGAAATTATAGATCAAAGATGTCTGTGTTTCTTTTATCATTAACATGACATAACATAAGAAAACATAAGAAAAGTCTCATTATTCAAGATAATGTTCAAGGTCAAGACACCTTGTCCTTGGTAGTCATAAACAGAAGAACCCTCCTGATCAGTTTCATCCAGCCTTGCAGTTGCCGACACAGGAAGGGGCATTTTGGGTTCATTCAGAAAGTAAAGCAAAGCACACCTGCTATGCTAGAGCACGCAAGGCATTACTGTAGGGTAAGCTCAGAGTGCTACAAAACACCTCTCCTGATTGGCCAGTCCAGATTTTAGGCCTTTCTCAGGCGATGGGGGTTCAAAATGGTTTGGGGAGGGGTCCACAAAAGAAAGGCAAAAACAGTCCCTGGCCTCAAGGAGCTCACTGTTTAATGGGAGAGACAATAGTCAAACAACTATGTACAAAACAAGCAGCAGACAGGATGAATTGGAGGTAAGGAAGGAAGGCATTTGCCTTCAGGGGATGGGGAAGCCAGGAGGCAGAGGTGAGGAAGTAGATAAGTCCTGGCATGGGGTGAAAAAGGTATGGAGTCTGGAAATGGAGTGTCTTGTTCAAGGAATGGAATGGAGGGTGGTGTCGCTAGATTGCAGAGTATGTAGGGGCAGGAGCGGGGTGAGTAAAGGTGTAAGAAGACAGGAAAGGTAGGACAAGGTTAGGAAGGGCTTTGAAGGCCAACCAGAGCATTTTGTATTTGATCCTGGAGGCCACAGGGAGTTAAGGGGATGACATGGTCAGACCTGCTCTTCAGGAAAATCACTTTAACAGGAATAGAAGACGGGCTGGAGTAGGGAGAGGCTGGAGGCAGGCAGGCAGACCTACCTGGAGGCTATGACGATAGTCCAGGTGGGAGGTGATAAGGCCCTGCAGGATCATTGTATTGGTCAGAGTAGCTAAGTCTCTCACAATTGATCACTGTTGGATGGTGGAAATATTAAGAGCTCATTGGTGCCAGGAGAGGCAGCCATGCCTGCAGTCCTGGTGGGACACTCTCCCTCCGGAGTTTTTGAGCTTCAGTGGGTTTAAAGCAATCAGCTGTCCACACCAAGTCTGACACCAATATGGTGAGCCCCAGGAGTGAAGGACCAGTCTGCCTCCAGAGGGGCAAACAAGCCCAGTTCAGAAAAAAGGGATGGATTAAAGCTTCCATGCTGCTGCTGAGTGGCCACTGAGACAAAGACCTAGACAGAGAGACGGAGACCAGACAGAGACCTAGACAGAGACTAGACAGAGATGTAGACAG